TGAAGCTTCCAAAGTGCACGACTGTTAATTGCTCTTGTACTTTACATCTACAGAAAAATGTATTGCAGCAAATGAAGATGACAGTGATTATGAGTCTGAACAAGTAGCAGGAATAGAGGCTCTGAGTGAACCAAGTATGATGAAACATTTAAAATCAGCTCGTCAGATGGTCATTGAAAAAAAGCTGACAGCGGGACTCTCAAAAGAGCAATTACAGAAAGAAAAAGAGTAAGTTAAATCAATATTTTTAAAAAACTGAATGACAACCACACAAAAACCTTTCGTTTTTGTGCAGGACTCAAGCATCTCAGCTGGAAGCAATTTATAAATTATTGAAACAAAAGGAAAAACAATTATTCAATATTAGATCAATGGATGAATTGCAAGAACAACTTAAACTTTATAAATCTTAAATGTTACAAAGTTTGGAAAATAAAAAGTTGTGTGAAACCATGAAATATCAATTTGATCATACTGCATCTTATTGTTTAATTTAATATTTATCATGAAGAATCAAAATGGTCCTAGATGACTACAATCAAAGTAGTAAGGAGGGGACTTCAAAACAATCCAATTTGCCTGTTGGCTGACAAACAGGTTCAAACAATTATATCAACAGACCCCTAACTTAAAAATTAACATGGAGGAAACCTTCTCATTAAGTGTCACTTCAACTGCACAGTGTGCAGCTCTGTTGTCCAATCAAGTCAATGTACTCTGAAAAGGTGCCATAATGACCATCTAGAACCACCTCTGTGAGAAGAAAACCTTCAAGTCTTCAATAAATTGCTACAAGGCAGCAGTAGCTTAAAATGTCATTGGCACCAAACTGGAACAGCAAAGAACCTTTCGCTCCCGCAAGTCCCGAGTTAAATCCACTAAATGTGGCTCAGAAAGCTGCTAGTATAAAGCCATAAACCTTTGCAGCAATATATCAGGTCATGTAACTAGCAATCCATTATAGTCGAAACAACTTCTTGGCTGTTCATCAGTCACCTTTTATGTTAAGTGTTGGAGGTGCAAACAGGGCAGAGGACAGTTGAGAGATGAAATAAATCAAACAAAACTTAAAAAAATGTAACTGAATGATCAAATTCTATTCTGAGATACGTAGTAAATTTATATTGCATAAAAACCAATGCTACACATTTAGTGCACATCTAATTTAAAAATATTTTAGTGTTAGGATGTATCACAAAGGTATTGTGCTCCAACAGAGTACAATTTAACAAATAATACATGAAAGTAAAATGTAATTTCCAGTTCTCTGGAGAACAATTTGCATGGTCTTTGCTTGTGAGCACATTTGATTTTACTCACAAAAAATTCCTGAGTGAACCAAACAATGGAAGAAGGACTTTCCATAGATAAGAGTTACTGTCTCCTCATCTTTCTGGAGAAATAAGATACACTTCAGTTTTTATGATTTACTCAAAACTACAGCTTCGAACTACACATTACTTACGTTGACAATTTTGGCTCCTTTAAGTTGACTGGTGCAGCATTCCTTCTAGGCCGGGGCTTTGAACCCTCTAATGAAAACAGAGAGAGAGATATATAGAGGGTGTTGTGAATCTCTATGTGTCCACATTTTTTACGATATTTTCACAGTGTCCACACACCCCCATCTCCAGATTTTCATTTTCTTTTGTGTCCCTTTTTTTTTGTGGTGGGGGATGTTTTGGCGGTGTCTCTAGATATTTTCTAACAAAATTTGCAAAGGAGGAAAAAAAAGGTTTAAGAAAAATTATGACAGTAATGTGTGCTGTATTTCTGCTTATTTGTCAAGTGCAACCAAGTTATAACAAACAAATCACTTAGGATTGCTATTTTAGCAAATTCCAGCTTGGAAATATCAGGTTGATTGGGGAAATACATTCAAATTTTGGGATTAGATTTGCAATCGTAAGATTGAAAAAACAGTAATTTCTGAGCATGTTATAGCAAGGTCTCACTGAACTTCAAAAACTGCAACACAAACGGATTTAAAGACTAACTCATTGTCACGTTTTTTTTTCCTCTGCTTTGATTGTTTGGGTCCTGGTCCTGAAATACAAAACAATGTATAAGATCAAGTCATGACTTCCATTGTGGTCTAGAGATGTTCAACACTTACTATTATTCCGATTGAATTGAGCATCTATGGATCCAGTACGATTAGGGGAAATCTGAGTCTCGGAAAGAGAACGCTTACGATTGGGTGAGGTAGGACTAATTGCGTGCTTATTTTCTAAATTGCTTTCAGATGCACAACTTGCTTCATTTTGTTTACTA